AGGAGCTCGAATTCGTGCTTTTACTGGTTAACTTTAATGCATACTAATTGTTAGAAGAATTTTCATTTCATACGAAAGTGAATCAAGAAACGATTCGTCGGTCGATTCCACCAGATCAGGACGGATGAAACTCCTACTGCAGCCATTTTGCTTTATGCGATTTCATGTTGATGCAGTCCACGAGACGTAACCTTTAGTATTGCATATAGACGCTAACTCGCACAAATATACATGCTCATACAATCGAGCAAAAATAACAGGGTTGTGAAAATTAACCAAATTACTCCATCTATTTAGAGTCGATTGAGTCTCTACGAAAGGTAAGATAGAGCCGGGTAGTGTTTTTGCTTTGGAGGTAACGTGCGATTTTTACACCTCTGATGATGTCCATCATATGATGGACTAAAGCCCAGAACTTTTTCACCCAAAATGAGGAAGTCTCGTGGACTGTGTCAACATTAGTATCCTATAAAAGCCAAACGACTGCAGTACAACGAGATTCATCCGTCCTCATCTGGTGAGATAGACCAACGAATCTCTTCTTAACGCACTTTCATTTGTAATAAAGGTCCCCCTAACAATAAACTTTGAGTCGAGTTTGTTGACCTCACGTGATTGCTCGTTACCATTATCTACCGTTTGTCTCAAATTTCGGATCTTGGGTAAAGCTAACTCTTTATACTTGAGTCTATTTATTTAGCAGGATTGATACATTTATTTCCATTCTTTCATCAATCGGAGGACAGTAAATTTTGATTGCCTCGATGGGATTTCCGAGTATTCTTTTAGAGCTCGCCTCTTCGATCGCCTTGTTGTATGCCATCAAATTGTCCAGGATGTCTTTTTCTTCCCATGATAGCTAGGGTAAACGAACACAAGAGATTACGTTGAGTTCCGTTTACTCTTGCAGTATACTTCTACTTACCTTTCCTAGGATAACTTTCATTTCGTTTACTTCTGGTACTCCAGGCACTGGTACAGAGTTAATTTCAATACTTTCTTTAAAAGTTTTCACCATTCCAACTGTGTCCTCTCCTATTCTGCCTGGATAAGAAAGATTTAAAAATATAAAAATATGCTTATCTTAGAAGTCAATTGTATCATTATCTTGAGATGTGATTATAGGTAGCATAAACCAACCGTTTTTAGATGTCGGTAACCGTGATCCGACAATGTTCCGTATTTTCTTCAGAAATGGTGACAAATCGACATGGCACACTATGTCATCGAATTCCTCTGAATGAATTGCCCCGGTTAGGAGACGCTGGATTAGGTCATTCTGTCCTGCACTCACTGCTCCAGCCTTCAGACAAGCTTCCACATCATTAGCATCCTGACTTTTAATGAAATTAAAGATAAATATTAAAATATTTGCTGAGAGCAATCTGAGTGGCCGTTTTAATTTGAATACAGTGAAAAGTAAACACCATGGAAGTTGTTTGACATCTTCAGTAAATCTCGCCATTCGTAGCACCATAGTACAGCTCGTCAAAGAGACTCTTGTCACTTGACTCTTGTTTCTGACCAGCTGTACAATGGTGCTACGAATGGCGAGACTGACTGACGATGCCGGCGAAACGTCTGGGAAAGTACCACGTCCACGGTCCGACTTTGGAAGTGAT